GCCCTAAGTCAATTAAATGCCCAAACAGTCTGAGGTTTCTTTTTTAAAGCAAACCTTTTATCAAAGGGATAGAACGCCGAACAATACAAGTCGGATCAAACAAAACAATTTGGACGAACACCAAAACATGCAAGTTACAAAACAGGGCAAGTATTGTGCCCATCACGAGGGACTCACTGCGCTGATAGAAAATGTTCCTTCTTGCTCTCCAGCCAGAAGAGCTGGCCTTGTTTGGGGGTTCATGTTTGCCGTCAGGGGGCCAGCCCCCAGCTCTGTGAGAGTGCCTCAGTGCTGGGTGGCTAATCCCGATGGGAGACCCCCCACCTGTGCCCTTGTCAGGCACTGTCCAGTGGGTTCTGACTCCGCGGCCTGACGTGGAGCAGGAGGAGAAAGCACCGCTGTGTCCAGCATCCTCCTCCCGATGTTTCTGACCTTCCCGTTCATGGTCGCAGCCCCTGCTGCTCCGTCTCATCCAGGGTCTTCCTCGCTTGTGCTGCCCCATCTGGTTTACCCAGTGCGACGTCCTTCTCCCGGGACTGCTCTCTCCGGATCACTGGAGGAGCACGCTGCCTGTCCTTACTTCTTCCCAGATGTGTCAGTCCTTTGGGAAGTCCAGGGATCATCCGACCGTCTTCATCAGCACCCACTCGTTCTTCCGTCTCCCTTAGTCTGTGTCTGACGCTCCCATGCACAGGAGGCGACTGACAGTCCCACCCCTGTGTGAGTCTGGTGACATGAGCCCTCTTCTTCCCCCTGGATTCATTAGGCAAAGGTTTGGGGGCTGGGGGTACTTGTGTGGGGGGAGTGCCCATGGTTTCTGTGGGGCAGACCAGGACTGGCTGGGCTCACTGCAGCTTCTGGCTTCTCTTGGGAGTCCAGAATGCTTAGCCTGGTCTGGGAGTCTCTAGGCCATGTGTGTGTAAGCCCAAGACCTCTTGTTGGGGTGCAGGGTCCCTGAAACTATAGAGTATTGCGTGTAGAGAGGGGGGTGAGATTGATGGTAGACTTCTCACCTCCCTGTGAGAGACCCAGGCCCAACTCCCGGGGCCTGTGCACCTCACTTGTGTGCAGCTGTAACCCCGCCCCCCATTCGATGTTGTGATGCTCATCAGCCTTCCCCAGAACTCCGCACTAAGATAGACTAGGAAGAAAGGCCTGGTGAGCTGGGTTCAGAAACCAGCCAGTGCAAACGGACCCACCTCCAGGGGTTCATCATCGAGCTCCTAAAGCTTCAGCACCCCTCCCTCCCCCCACTTCATCCGGCCTCTTCCATGATTCTGTGCCCAATTTTACATTCGACATCCCATGTTCTTTTTCATAAAGGGCTCTCAAATGGTATATATATCCGAACCCACAACACGGATGAAAGGTTTTCTGGATGGAGCTCTATAGGGGAAGCCTGTCACCCGACACCCCACAAAGTTACACATGGTCCAGTTAGTCATTTGCAAAGTTAAGCCTCTTGCTCCAGTAGCGCCCCCTCCTCCCCGTTGGAAGAGCCATTTTGCCACCTGGTGGTCAGGCTGTGGAACTGCATCTCATCATTCCCAGACCTGGGAGCCCAGGTCTCTGGTTGTGGAGGCGCAAAGCCACGTGAGCCACTTGGGGTCATCTGTAGCTTGGAATTATCCCTGGTGCCCAGTGTCTCCTTTCACTGATGTCCACACAGCACATGGGATTGGGCATCTAGTCTCGGGCGAGACTGAACAAGGGCTCCCAGAAACGTATCCTCCAGTCCCGTGTATGCCAGCAAGAAGCCGTGTTACCTTGTCAGGGAGAGCTTCGGCAAGAGGTGGCCCTTGATGTGAGCTGCAGTTAACCGGGTGAAGGCAACAGGGAGGGAGTGGAGGGACAGTGGGTGTGGAGGTCTTTCGGCTCAGCTATGGCCTAAGGGGGCCGCTCCGGCAGGAGAGGCAGGAGAGAGAGGGCGGCAGGAGAGAGAGGGAGGCAGGAGAGAGAGGGCGGCTGGACCGGGGTGGTGGCTGTGCAGGTGCAGAGCAGTGGATGGGCCGAAGACATCAGAGGTCAAATCCATGCTGGGAGGTTGGATGTGGGGTCGGGCAGGACAGGGATGATGCCCAAGACCCCATCCTCAGAGAAGGGGACAAATGGGAGCTGGAGGTGGGCGTGGGAGAGAAAGACAAAGAGGTATCAGGATCATTGAAAGTGCGAGGCCTGCCAAAAGAACAAGCAAGCCTGTCTTGGAAGAAGTACAGCCAGCATGCTCCTGAGTGGCAAGGGTGGGGAGATGTCATCTGACCTGCTTGGGGCATGTTATCAGGAGCCACCAGTCCCTGGAGAAGACCATCCTGTTTGGTAAAGGGGCTGCTAACGAGAGGAAGGCCCTCCGAGACGGGCTGACACAGCGGCTGCAGCCCTGGCCTCAAACACAAGCTCTGCTGTGAGGAGGCGCAGGACTGGGCTGCTAACGAGAGGAAGGCCCTCCGAGACGGGCTGACACAGCGGCTGCAGCCCTGGCCTCAAACACAAGCTCAGCTGTGAGGAGGCGCAGGACTGGGCGGGGCTTCCTTCTCTCTTACACGGGGTCGCTGGGAGCCAGAACCCCCGGCCAGCACCTCCCAACAAGGAAGAAGAGAGGATCAGGAAACAATTAGCACCTCGAGGCTGGAGGTGAGTGTGGGCTCCTGAGGGCAGTCTCCCCTGGGCCCTGGGCCAGAGTTGGGGCTCTCCCTCCCATGATGCAGATGGAGAAGTCGAGAAGTCCGTGATGCCTCCGAGAACTACTTACCCGGGCTTTTGACTCTGGGTTGGGGCACCAGCGGCGCGGTGCAAAAAGAGGCTGGTCCAAGAAACAGCCCCCCTCCAGGGAGGCCTGGGACTGGAATTCCCATCTCCAAGAACCTTTCAAGTCCTCTCCTCCCATGCCTGGATCTAAGGAAGGGGTTGTTTCTAAGGCACCCGCACAGAGGAATACCTACAACCCCCAAACCCAACCCATTGCCGGGGATGCCATTTGTCCAGGTGACCCCAGGTTTTGCATAGCAGGATGGTCTTGGCTGTTGTTTTTATGGACGCGGGTGGCCAGGCCTTACTTCCGTGGCACTGCCGGGTAGTTTTGAACCACTGTTAGGTTAGTCGAGAGCTGCTGCCTGCGGGTCTTTTAAAAGAACTCTTGGATGTCCTCCCATGAATAGTCGTGGTGTTTGTCCAACACTGTGAAGGTCATTAAATAAAAACCAAACTCACGCCCATCCAGGACATTCTGACTCACAGGGACCCTACAGGGCAGAGAAGAACTGTCCCTGTGGGTTTCTGGGGCTGTCATCTTTATGGGAGCAGGGAGCCTCATCTTTCTCCCTCGGAGTGGCTGGTGGATTCGAACTGCTTACTCTGTGGTTAACAGACCAACAAGTAAGGTGAATGTGATTAGCACCCTCTGAGAAAGGGTTGCACGTTTCTGTTATCTATATACATACTGTCGCATATAAGAAGTGAGCTATTGGCTAAAAGCACTTCTGCCCCCTGGGTTTCCTTGACCCTCTCGGTGCTTTGGGAGCCTCAAGAGCAGGGCAACATCTTCACAGGGCAGGTGGGGAAACTGAGGCTTAGAAAGGAGGCGAGACGGAGCCCTACCCAGATCCCAGGGCCCCAGCACCTTGCCCAGGGCTCTGTCACCTCCCACCCAGCAGTCCGGGCCGGGGGCTGAGCACTGCCTCGCCCCGCGTGCCTGCCCCCAGAGCCATCCACAGGGAAGACGTGCCTGCCCAAGGCGCTGCTGAACCTGAGCAACGGCCGGAACGACACCATCCCGCTGCTCCTGGACATCGCCGAGCGCACGGGAAACATGCGAGAGTTCATCAACTCGCCCTTCCGGGATGTCTACTACCGAGGTGGGGCTGGGCTGGAGGGAGACCATGCTGAGTTGGGGTGGGGTGCCTGGCTGAGCCGGGGCTAGGGGATGGCCTGGCTGGGCTGGGGGCCTGTCGGGGCACCACCCCAGCTTGTCTGGGAGTTGATAGGCACCTCCAGTGCCAACATGCACCCCAGAACTGAGTGCTCATGGAGGAAGGCAGGGGGGCAGGGTGGGGTGAGGAACCCTCACTCGCCCTTCAACTTCAATATTCTGAGTCTCCAAATGGAAGCTTCCAGGAGTCTGAGCTCCGAATGAGCCTGATGTTCAGAAACCAAGAAGCAGCTCACTGCCCTTGAGTCAATGCCACCACTGACTGGTAGCAACCCGATAGGACAGAGCAGAGCCACCCCGATGGGATTTTGAGACTGTCAGTCTTTATGGGGTCAGAAAGCCTCATCTTTCTCCCAAGGAACAGCTGGTAGGTTTGAACTTCTGACCTTGTAGTTAACAGCCCAATGCATAGCCCATTAAACCACCAGGGCTCTTGGGTTGCGGGCGTGATGCTGTGGTCCCGACACCCCAAGTGTCCACAGTGGCAGCACTCAGAGGCCCCTCGCTCCAGCCCCTAGCTCACACCCCAGTGCTTGATTCAGAGGCGCTGTGAACGGCAGTGAACTCCCGGATTCTTGGAAATCAAAGTCAGTGGGTCTTATATCCTGGGGCGGAATCTCAGTGAGACCAGGCCCCCTTGCCTCTGCTGGTGGAGTCTGAAGGTCCTCACCTTTGTTATGTCTCAAGGCCATGTGACTTTGGAAGACACAGTCCCCACCCCACGTCCCACCCTGGTGGAGTAGTGGCTCCCTCTTTGGGCTGCTCACTACAAGTTCAAGATTCAAAACCACCTGCTGATCCATGGGAGAAAGACCGGGCTCTCTACTCCCGGAAAGGAAACTCACAGGGGCAGTTCAGCCCTGTCCTACAGGGTGGCTGTGAGTTGGCATCAACTCAGTGGCAGTGAGCTGGGTTTGGGAGTCTGAGATCCAGATGGTACAAATGGTTGAGGCAGCAACTACGAAGGGGAGGTTGGAGGTTTAACACCCCCACCCCCACCCTCGAGGCTCCTCCTCGGCTCCCACTGGGCCCCTGGGCCTTGGAAGCTCTGCAGTGCACACACACGGGGGTCAGGGGTGGGGGGCGCCACCCATCAACTTCGTGAACTCCGCGGTGGCCGCTGAGGGAACAGGCACCTGCCCCCGGTGACTGTCACTGTGTCCGGCAGGTCAGACGGCCCTGCACATCGCCATTGAGCGCCGCTGCAAACACTACGTGGAGCTGCTCATTGCCCAGGGGGCCGACGTCCACGCCCAGGCCCGAGGGCGCTTCTTCCAGCCCAAGGATGAGGGTGGCTACTTCTACTTCGGTAAGGAGGGGCCGGGGAGTATGGAGGGGAGATGCTTGGGGTGGGTGTTTCTGTCATGCTCCCTAAGTTTAACCTGTGAAGGGGGTAGGTGGGAGCTGGTGGGCAGAGCTGTGGACTCTGAAGCCAGGCCCAGTTCCCCGCCCCTGGCTGCTACGCCCTCCCAGCTGGACCCCGGACTGATTGGGTTCTGCCCGCCCCACTCACCTCCTGTGTTTGACCTGTAACAAAGTTAATTAGGGCTCCTCTTGAATTTTAGCACCTGTAGTTCTTGTTGTTGATATCCTTTCTTTCTGGATCCCTGGTGGCATAGTGGTTACACCTTGGTCCGCTTACTTCAAGGTCAGTAGATTGAAGCCACCAGCCACCCTGAGGGAGAGGCTTGCTACTTGGGCAAAGTTCTGGTCTCAGAAACCCACAAGGGCAGATCTGCCCTGTCCCGTAGGGTCGCTGTGCGTCTGAGGTCGATGGCAGTGAGTTTTCCCCCTCCCCCCACCAATTTCCTTTCTCCCTTGAGGTTCTGCCCTGGCTTCCAAGATGCTAGTCTTGATTCAGAGAGGTAGACAAGGGCTGGGGTTGGCAGGCATTAACCGAAGTTCCAGTTCGCTCTGGGGTGGGAGAGGACCTGGGGTGGGAGAGGGCAGAGGGGGCTCAGTGGGTACAGCAGGAGATCTGGAAGTAGATGATAGCAGCCCGGCTCTATCCGTCAAGGATTTTTTTTGGTTCCAAACATTTATCATTTTGTAGTTTGCTGAGAATCTACATAGCTCTACCTGGTGGCCTAGAGGGTTAGTGTTGGGCTGCTAACTGCAAGGTCAGCAGTTCAAATCCACCAGCCATCGCACTGCAGAAAGACGAGGCTTTTGCTCTTGTAAAGAGTGAGTCTCAGAAACCTACAGGGGCGGTTCTACCCTGTCCTGTAGGGTTGCTTTGAGTTAGAATCGACTCCATGATGGTGTGTGAGTTTTACTTCTGTTTTGTTTGAGCAGCTACCTGGCAAAGCACGCCCCATTTTTCTGCACGAACAATTCCGTGGCATTTCGCACATTCTCTGAGATGTGTGACCAGCCATCCCCACCCGATCTGCTGGGTTTTCAGTGGCTGAAGTTTAGGCCAGGCCTTTCTTCCAAGGCACTTACAGGTGGATATGATTCAAGGCTGAGTGTACTCACAATACAGGCCACTCAGGGATGCCTCCGGGCCCTCACATCTCCCCGCCATGCCCCAAATGGCCACCCCATCACCCCCAGAAGTGAGGTGCTCTGACTGTTTGGGGGCCACATCCCTCCTGTGCCCCGGTCTCCCTGGGGTCCCTGGGCGTCCCAGCTACCCTGACGGCTGCCCTCCCCGCGGCCCCCAGGTGAGCTGCCCCTGTCGCTGGCTGCGTGCACCAACCAGCCCCACATCGTCAACTACCTGACGGAGAACCCCCACAAGAAGGCGGACATGCGGCGGCAGGACTCGCGCGGCAACACGGTGCTGCACGCGCTGGTGGCCATCGCCGACAACACCCGTGACAACACCAAGTTCGTCACCAAGATGTACGACCTGCTGCTGCTCAA